TTGGGATTATAAGTGTGCACCACCATACCTGGCCAGAAATCTTAACTAATAGGCTATCTTATTATGTGTCAGATCCTAAAAGGTTTGTCATATGATGTCAATTAATTGTCAGTATAACCTGATCTGGCAGGCACAATTAGTGGTCTGCTTTATGAAAAAAGAAACTGAGTCACAGAGAGATCAAGTAAATTCTGTAAAATCACACAGCTGTTATCCAAGTACATTTGAATCTATACTTAATACTACTTACTTAACCACAGTACTACAGCTGCCTCTCCTGCTCATTTTGTATTAATTTATTCTATTATGTTTTTGTAATGTACTTAACATATTGGAGGATAAAAACAGCCACTTTTCTGTTTCTTTAACAAAAACTTTTGAAAATAATCTATAAATAAAGCACTAAAATTAATCACTGTTTTAAAAAGTTCACAGCAATGACAGTCACAATTATACCATAAGTGGTCTAGTAAACCTCTCAATATTCTTATTAGCCTCGGTGCTTTATGCATTTCTTATATTAATATGCTTAGAAATAACACAAAGAATCATATGTAATTTTCAAGGCAAATGCCAAAGGTTAAATTATTCAAATAATTTCTGTGTTGGATTTTTATTCACTAGTTCCAAACATTTGGTCTTTTACTTTTTAGTCCAATATTAAAAAGAAATTATTAATTTCACCATTAAGCAGTATAAAATGAAAACATAATAAAAATAAATTGAGCCAATGATAATACTTTGAGTAGTTGAAATATCTTTTTGCCTTTGCTATCTGAGCTCCCCAAATTTTTAAGCTAATAGCAAGTTTTCACTAGATGAGAGGGTGTGGTTATATTTGTAGAAGTGTGTGTATGTGTTGTGTTTCTACCCTGCACATTGTTCTAAATTATATCCAAAGACCATTAATTTCATCTTCTTATATAGGTTTATAAAAGGGACCACCAGAGTCCTTAGTGTGAGAATTGTTACCTGAGAAGCTTTTGAGATCTGTTAATTCCTTGGTCCAGAGAACTATGGACTCACTAAAGTTACGCTGAGGCCAGAAATATAGATTTTTCAACAAGCATTTAAGAGAATTCTGAAACCTAGGATCTTCAATCCCCTCTTTGAGAAAAAAAAAATAAAATAAAGCCTAACATTAGGAATACTACCATGATAAGATACAATAATTTTACATAATAAAATTTGAGATGTTTGTGTTATGGTTTAGATATGAAATGTGTCCCAAAAGCTCATGTGTGAGACAATGAAAGAAAGTTTAGAGGTGAAATGACTGGGTTATGAGAGCCTTAAGCCATCAGTGCATTAATCCACTGATAGGGATTAACTGAGTAGTAACTGTAGCACCAAGGTGTGGCTAG